CTGTGGATGCCCCATCCCTGGGAGCGTTCAAGGCCAGGCTCAATGGAGCTCTGAGAAACCTCGTCTAGTGGAAGGTGTCCCAACCTAAGGGTTTGGGTCTAGATGATCTCCAAGATCCCTTCCAATCCAAGCCATGATTTTATGAAGCAAAGCATCAAGGGCAGCTTTGCCAAGCATCCTGCACCAACCCCTAACCTATCCGCATTGCGGTTTGTCCCGCACAAAGGGCATCGTCAATCCCACAGGCATCGTTCCTTTCACACATATATTCCTGCAAACATTTCTATCTGGAAGCCTTGTTTCTTACACTAGCCCTCTACAACAATCCTGTTGTAACTTTTCAACTTGTCACCAGGTTTATAAAACTTTAAAGCTAGTGCTATAACAAACTGAAATGATGTTATTGCAGATGTAGGAGAGCATCTTGGGATGAATAAATTATAGGAGCCACAAAGAAATCACGGCTCTAATGGCTGGATGCTCTGAGCTGTCTATGGTGTGCAGACACACAGGAGGGAGCAGGTTTAGGACTGCACAGATCATAGGGCAGGAAAATTGAAGCGTTATGAAGGGTAACCATCTCTTATTTCAAATGCATACAAAACTTCTGGTAGTTTTCCTTATTGAAATAGTTCATTAATGCTTCAAGGGAGTCTGAACTGTCTGGTACTAGAAAAATAGGTCCCCAAAGATTACCTAGAGAGAGAAAAGGCTACAGTTGGAAGGATTTGCCTCTAGTTCCCACCATGCAGCAATATACAGCACACCCTGAACAGCCCAGTCCTCAGCTGTCTTCTGAAAGGACATGCAGGAGTGGGAGACGACTTCCAGCTCCTTCTGAAGCCATTGGTACTAGATACCATCAGAACTGGATCACCAGAGGAAGTTGGCTGAACCAAACCATTAAGGTGATAGTGACTTTGGCAGCATTCATGCCATGTACCACAAAGGACAGATATCTGCACACTCCTCCAGCTGCAGAGTGACGTGAGCTCAATGCTGCCAGTGCTCTTCATTCTCCTTGGTCAGAAGCACTGCTAGACTCCTCAGTAACTTGGGTACCATATTAAGAGATCTGAACATACCACTGCCCAAGTACCACTAAACAACAAGAAGCATCTACAAGTACCTGCATGTTGTTTTATGCTTACTGCAATTCAACTACCTGAAGCATTTACCAGATCACCTGAAAGGAGATGAGCTGGGTTAGTTCCTAGGAGATAACATCCTTCTGTTCTTTACAGGTCATCTGAGCTACTGAACATCAGCATGAAGACATTCCTCCTTTCAGTCTGCCTTTAAATCCCCAACTTGCAAATTTGTACAGGATATGAAAAGACTCCAGCTAGGCCTTTCATCTTCATGGATCAGCACTTTCCCGGAGGGTCTGCCAGTCAAATGTGCCCTCCCCAATACCTATTTGGCCTGGCCCCTGGCATCCTTTCCCAGACATTTCAATTGATGTCACTGATCTTGGCTCAGCAAATAATCCTTCTAATCACTGACAAGAACAGAGGCTGCAGCTCAGCATTGCTTAGCCAAGCTGAGTATACAGTAATAAAGCATTTACTCCACAAAGTAAGCTTGAAAATATGGCTGACCACACACAGGCAGCAGCTGCAATGAACAAGAAGGTGGCATTTATTTAAATAAGGACTGTAATTTTGGTCCCCATCATTGGAAGATGGCTACAAAGGCAGCACTGTACCTATGAACATCCTGCATCTTGGCATGACTCCATCCTCTGAGCTGTACCATGGCACAGTATCTGGGTATGGCCCTCAATGAGGCGTAGGTGCATCAACTTTGTGTGCCAGCAAACACATAACATCTACAGGCAGCTGCGAAGCACTGTGTGTATCAGAGTGTCTGGGAACCTCCAGTGCAAAGATATAACTGTGTTACCTTTCACAGAGCCCTGTATCCTCCAGAAGTGAAATGTCACCACATCATCATTTTGGGAAAAAAGTTTGCATGGGAGGGAAGGCAAGGAATGCTCATTAGATCGTGGATGGAGCTGTATCCCTCCACAGCACCACATCCAGTTGGACTCCTATGGCAAACAACTTTTGAAAACATGCAATGGCTGGTCACTGACAGCACTTGTTCCTCACCACCACACAGCCAGCAGGCGCCAAGAGTCCCAGAGAAAGGCCTGAGAGAGCCGGGGGCTCTCCTCAGCCTGCCCAGCCCCAGCACCAGGGCCATTGTTCCCAAAAGGATGTCTGAGGATTAATTAATTATCCTACAAGGGGCAATAAGTAATAACACTCCTTGTGGAACAATAGAAGCTATTTGGTTGCCATGACAACACAGCTTCACTTGTATGCCTTTAATTTATTCATTGCACAGTCCCTTTCCCAAGCATACATGATGCCAAAAAATGCCTTGTTTTTCTTGCCAGTGTCCATGTCCAGAGCAGGGGTAAAACACAGCCCTTTCCCTAGGGCATCTGTCACACAGAAGAATGATGCACATAAAATCCCTTCAGCCTGGAAACTTACATCACATGAGAACTCTTCTGCTCCATAAATGTTTGTTCTTTAACATGATTCTGAGTTTTAACCCCTTTTTGAAGCTGCCTTACCATAGTGCTTATAGATCTTGATCCTGAGTAGTTTCTCACATAGAGCCACCTTGTCTCCCATCCCTACCCCCTCCACCACCTTCTTCTCTGCCCTATATATATGTAGGAAGGATAAGACAGGAGATTATTTTTTTCAAGTCAAACAGAAAACCAGGAGGAATCCATAGGAGCGTGACATGGACAGTGCCTGGTGCCCAGCCTGACTCCAGCCATGCCACAACCATCAAAACACTCTGAGTCCATCATTGTGCTGCTCAAATTCTGCAAAATCCAGAGCAGTGTGTGGATGAAGGTCTGTGCCAGGAAACCTTCTCTCCTGTTTATGGCCACATCTCCAGCAGGAGGTTTATCCTGCACCGGCCGCTGCAGTGCTGAGCTACCTTCTCAGGTCTACAGGGGTAGTCATCACAGGTAAGCTGAGAATCAAACCCCTCACTTGCTCCCAATTATGTTTGTGTAAGCTGAGGTCTTCAGCTACAAGTCCAGATCCCACATTGTTCATGCTGGCTCTAGTGAGGAGGAGCTGGTCCACCATGTAAGAATATTCAGGTCCAAATTGAGACTGGGGGAAAAGATGAGTCAAAGTTGAGTTCTGGCCTGACAGGCAAGATAGATGGAACTAGGTTAAGCCATCTGGCTCTTCTAGGTTGAGCCTAACCTCAAGCACAGCTACCCAATGCAATGGAGACATAGCTCTGTACCTGAATCTAGGGCCATACACACTGTCCAGTGTCACTGTCACTAGTCTGAGGTGTAACACACTATGCAGAGAATTAGGTTAATAGTGGGGTGATAGCAGAGAGTTGGCAAAAGAAGTGGTTTCATACAGGAATCTGAAGGTTCATGGTTGGCTCTTCACCCTGGGTCATACCAACATATGCATTCAGGGTTTTCAAGCAGTTTGGAAACAAAAACAACTAGTCAGATTGTTTTGCCTCCCCTCCTCCCCTCCCCATGCAACAGCAGAATAGCTGGTGGGCCAGGGAAGCAGGGCAGGAGAGTCCAGAAACAGATAAATAGGACAGGAGCACTGGGAGACAAAGGTTTTAATTGACTTGAACAGCAAGAGCTCTAAACTGGCCTAGGATTCTCCTAGGTCAGGAACCAAGGAGTGGGACAGCTGCTGTCAGAAGGTTCCCACCAGCCTTCCACTCCAGTCAGTCTCTGGGAAAGGGGAGGAGTTTGGAGCAAAAGCCTCTGGACAGGACGGAGAAAGGCAAGGTTAGGCAATGACAATGTAATTCATGCCCTCTGCTGGGTGCTAAGGGCTTCTGAGACAGCACAGTCCTGGGTGCATACCCAAACCATGATCAAAATAATTAATAAATTGCACTCCAAACAGTTGCTATCTGAGCTGGTAATTTTTTTTTGTTTCAGTGGTATGAAAAGCTGCAGTCTTATCAATAACACCCAAAACCAGATCTCTATTAGATGCCTCCTTTTCCAGCACAGATCTCCTAGACAATGCAGAATTACCACCAGCTAACATGAAAAGCCACTATTTTTCAACTTAGCAGGGGCAGGCTGACCATAAAGCCACTACTCCCTTTGTGTCAACCAAAAAACACAATCCACATCTACTCTTTTAAGGGGTAAGCATTACTGACTTGGAGAGGCGGCACAGAAGTAGAAGGGATGAGAATCTACTCTGGATAAGAGGCCACTAGGTTCCAGAGATCCTCCACTCACAGGTTCACAGGTGTACCTCAGTGTGCTGGTACAGACAGTCACTAACCTTACTGGAATTTAACCCACATTAGGAAGTGAACTACAGTCTTCCAGCATGTCCAACCACATCCCAACCACACACATCCACGCCCAGCAAGGGCAGGTGTGTACCACAGAGGTCCCACCTGCCAGTCCTGTCTCACAAGTGTTTCGGTGAGTTCGGAATTGTTTCACCCAGGGGCTGGGTTGAGTCTGTGTGAGCCTTCACCGAGACCACTCAGTGGGTGGAAGAAGCAAGGCTCAGACTGAAACCAGTATGCTGAGAAAGAAATCTGGGGGGAAAAAAACCCCAAACATTTACTATGGCCCAGTTAAATGCTTGACATTCTTTTACATCACATGATACATGGAGGAATCAGCCTTGAACTCCTATGATGAGGAAGAATTATGTCTTAAATCAGAGTTCTCATGACCAAAATTCTGTGTCCAAAGCAGAAGAAAAAAGTATTTCTTCAGTAGCAGACAATATCATCTTTCCTCCAACAACTTCCCAACTGCAGGGAAGATCCCTAGCAGAAAGTGAAGGAAGCAAGGGGGTGATCTCCCTGATTTTCAGAAATGAACCCTGAGATCCAAGATAGCTCCAAGGAGGAAGCAAATCTCAACCAGAAAAACGGAAGAACACTTTATCTAGCCTTTTCTTTTTTCTTTTCCTTTTTTTTTCCCCCTTTCTTTCCAGACTTACCATGTTGACTTCAGAGATCTGGTCAATGCTGGAGATATGGATGCTCATTCCCACTGTGACAGGGTTACCTGAAAAACAAATAGACTGGGTTAGGACCATATTCAAACCCTCCTCCCTTATCTGCAGTAAAACAATTGCCTAGAAATGTATGGATATGATTTTAAGGAGCCTCACATTGCCTGAGTATCATGGATTTCAAGTTGCATGTGCTCAAATGATTAGAGTAGATTTCTCTAACTTCCAGACTTCCAGACTCACCCCTAGGAATAGTGCAGCCTAAGCTTGATTCTTTAATTCCTGGAAGTTAATTACCCCCTAGTAATACAATTACCTCTGGTTATTCCAAATAATGCCTTCAGAGACCATCAGTAGGTTCCTAGTGGGCTTGCATAAGGTGTTACTGATTGACCATACAAAGAACATAGTAACCAAGCCCATGCGACCCATGGGCAGGAAAGATACTCCAGCTCACTACTCCATCACTCTGTCAGCTCTGAGTACTGTCTGAAAATCCCAAGTGAATTTTAATACCCAAGATACCACACAAGCACAGGAAACAGACTTACGAAGTGAAAAAGCAGCATTTGCATAGTGACTTTCCAGAGCAGAGATTGGATTAGAGAACAGATTCCCCATTTTACCATGGGCCTCAGTGCGCGTGTCACCCCACATCCTCTTGCCTGCAGCTACGGAGCTGTGGTAGACACCTGTGCACAACTTTGCTGGGAAATTCAGATATTCCCTTATCCAGTGCCCCTGAATGTGAAAAGCATGATGAGCAGGTAGAGAAACCCCACACAAGGGCAGTTCCAGGCAGCTCTATTGCCCTCTCTTTCCCAAGTTCAGCAACATCTGTATTACCACATCCCACAAACCTATGAAGTCAGGGCAGGAAGAAGCCACTTCAGACTATTCTCCAGATGTGTGGACATCCCAGCTAGGTCCAGACTCATATCCAGTTCTAATTGAGTCCCTCTGACCAGCAGCTCCCACAACCAGGCAACAAGGAATCCTCTTTCAGTGGGATTTAAGTAATGTAAAACAATTTACAGATTCACATCCACTATGAAAACCAGGAAAACCCCTCCTGTGGCTGGAAATGGGGTTTCTGGGTGCTTATCAGACTCACAGCCCCAAAGGCAGAGCACAAACCCAATCCCACAGCAGGCAAAATCCCTATGCTCACACAAGCAAGGTGGAAAATGATCCCTTGCGATGCATGGCTAGAAAGGCAATGGCAAGCAGTTGTGCCACTCAAGGTATTAACTCTTCCATGGACTCATTAGTAGATCTAAGTGCTGAAATATTTACAGATAATCATGAAATGGCTTAGAAAGTAATTAGGAGATTGGGGGAGAGGGGAGAACCACACAACTGGAAATGAAGTGATTTTTTAATTATGTGTTACCAGAAGTAGGGAAGCAGTGTCATTAGGGGTGCCTTGTGATTGGGTGTGCTGTTCACCGAGACCCTCTGCTGCAAATTAAGCAGCATTATCCTTTAATGGAATATGAACAACACTGAAAACATCAGAATCAACAACTGTAATTAGGCCCTGCTATGCAAATCTCCTTAAAGAGGCAGTGCTCTTCCCAGCACTCCCAGCTCGCTGGCAGGGGTGCCGTAGGCAGGGGTGCTCAGGAGACCTTGTAGAGCCTCTGAAGATCCTCACACAGACACTCTCCCAGCCACATCTTTACTGTTCTGCTACCTTCATCTTTCACAAGGGAACCAGGTGGGAAAATAACCAAGAGTCACACCAGGGACAAACAGTTCTCCTGTATCCTCCCTTGTGCCACAGGCAGACAGACGCACAGCAAAGCTTTTAACGAAGTCTCACTTTGGTAGTTTGTCTTTTTTTTTTTTTTCCTGAAATAAGGGCCTTGTGTTAGAAGCCATAGCAGGAGAAGGAAGTCACCGTTGCCCTGAGGATCTTGCAGACTAATTGGTTACAGGAGGAGAGTCAGGGCCATGCACAGGGCTGCAGCAGAGCTGGGGAGAAGCCAACTCCCCGCTCCAGAGCCTTTCTGCCACAGAGTGTTGTTCCTTCCAAGAGCTGCCCTACTGCCTGCTTGGCTTCCAGTCTGTCCCCACCATGTCACTCTGGCTGTGTCCCTTCCTCACTCAGTGCAAAAAGTGATTCTTTCCCCCATGCTGTGTCAGAGCCCCACTGAAAGGAGCAGGGTGGGTGGTTAGAGCAGGGGAGCATTGACAGTGGGGATATACAAATATTTGTCAAATACAGAGTCTATCCAGCCTATTCTATCTGTCTAGACATTTGTGCTGTGTTCATCACCATGGTATCTGAGTGCCTGAGGTCATGCAGTGACTCAGTGTCAGAGCCAGGGATAAGCTCCAGACCTCCCGATTCTCAGCTCCAAGAAGAATGCTGGATTGGAGAGCCCAGCCGTGCTGCCACATCCATCCTGGGCTCAGCTGCACCCAGCTCCGATGCACAGTCAGCAATTCTCCTCCTGGCACTACCAACTCCTCTATACCCCATCTATCAGGGAAGTGGGAGGCTACACTGCTCACCTGCAACCCCTGGGAGGTGTGCCCATCCACCCACAGGCTTCTGAGTGTGACTATCATACAAACACTCCAAAGCCCTGTCTCTACTGGACCTACTCCTGGCTTGACCGCAGGGAAGCCATTTCACCTTCTCCATCCCTGTTGTGAAGACTGGCTCACAGTCTGCTCAGGACAGGGATTCAAGAGCATGTGCAGAGCCAACAGAAAAAGCATGCCTTGCCTCTTACTGTAGCCCAAGGAAAAGCCAGACAGGCTGGTATCCAACATTCAGGCTTTAAGTAGTGCACAAAATAAACAAAGGACATCAATTCTGCCAATGTTAATAGCTTCAGGCAAGAGGGATACAAAAGTAGGGTATTTAAAATATGGGATAACGTCATCTGTAAATTTGTCCAAAGAGGCAGAACTTTGAATTTGTGGATCTGAGACCCGGCAAAAGAAGTAAACCTGATATTAAAGGCCCTTGCCTTGGCAAGGCACAGGTAATCTGTGCCTTGCCAATGGGTGCAAAGACCTAGACCTTCTCCCCTTAAAGAAAAAGCTTATGCATAGAAAGGATTTGTAGGCACGATCACGAGTGATGGAGTGTGAGAAATTCTGCCACTTTTGCCAGAGAATGGCACCCTCACATGTCCCCATTTCTCACCACTACTGGAGAAATCACCAGCATTTTTTCTTTAAAAGAGTTTGGTGCCTGTGAATAATGTACTCGGGAAGTTGGAAGGGAAGCACACAAAAGAGTTATGATAAAACCTGTCCTTTTTCTGCAAGTGATACTTGTCAAATATAAAAACAGTCAAGGTAGAGAACAAGTTGTGCTAATCTGCAATATTTTCCCAGCAACCAGTTATTACTTTCACATTTTATTTTACAATGGATAAAAGCCCCAGAACTTGGAGTCATGTTGCTACAGAAGTAATTCTGATGGCACAGCTGCAGAGGAAAGGTTGTGTTTCCAAGCTTGTGTCTGCCTGCACTACAGCCAGAGCTGAACACAGCCTAGACTGGGACATCTCCTCCAGATCTCAGCCTGGTACCTCAACTGTAGAGCACACTGAAGACAATAGCACAAAATTCAGTGTAACAGGGAGATGCTTCCTTGGGCAACTGTCCTGAACTAAGGTCCAAGCTGTCCTCTCTTCACTCCTACCTAAGTAAGTTACACTAGAGCAAGCTTGGGTTTCTCTGACATCAGACCTCCAACTGCAGTAGTGACACAGCCAAAAAGACTCCAAACCAGTGGGCAGAAGAACAGAGCTCAATTTATGATCCACTGAAGCCACACCATTTTTATGAACTACAGCCAATGCTTTGAGGAGCCTGGCTCCTGCATTTCTGACCACGTGAACTTGGCAATGCTGGCAGAGCCAAGGTTTGCAGTTGCTAAGGGACAGAGGTTAGCCTTAAAACTACCCTTTAGTCTAGACTACAGAAACAAAGGCACTAACATGGTGTCAGAAATTTCACAGCCCCACTGGACGATATCTTTCTGCATTTCACTGCACTGAAGGCTTTTCCTAAATATCCAAACTAAACCTTCTCTGCAGTTTTAATGTAGTTTAGTCTCATCATCCCCCCTCCCCATGATAGTGAAAGAATAAATCAATCATCCTTCCTTAACAACGGCTTTTATGCACTGAGAAACCATGACATCCCCTCCCTCCCCCACCAATACTGTCTTGTCTAGATTAAATGCACCTGATTTCTTCAACCTCTCCTCAGAGGTCATGTTTTCTAAAGCTCTGACAATTAGTGCTGCTCTCCTCTGGCCTCTTGCCAATTTGTCTACATCTCTATTTTAAAGCCGGGTATCCAGAACCAGCCACTGAAGCGAAGATGACATGTCACCAATACAGACAAAAGTAAAAGCAACCTCCCCTGCACAGAATTCTCCTAAAACCACAGAAGCCTCTCCAAACCTGCTGCACCCATCCTACGAGCTGTTTTCTTTGTGTACGAGGTTAGAGATGGTAAAGGGGCAGCTGAGCTCTTGCCATTAGAGTGCATCATGCATGCAGGAGAGAGTACAGCACTGTCTCTTTTGGACAAGAGGAAAAATTATTCAAGACAGCTTTGTGCATGAGCCTCAGAGTTCCCTGCTTGCACCCTGCCTGTGGCATCACCAGTCTCTGAGATCCCTGCAGCAGCAGGAAAGCTCCTTTAAGGTCTTCTGCTGAGTAAACAAAGCCAACCAGAAAAAATCAGAGGCTTCATTTACTAGACCTACATATAGAACAGGTCTGTGCCTTACCCTGCAATGCTAAATACCCATAAGCATAAGACTCCATCCATGCAAAATCCCACTCCTGATAGCCAGCCCTCCATAAGCCAAAGGACAGTAATGACACTAGAGACCCAAAACAGCAAGTCCCAGACAAGGTTGCCCTGCACTGTCTGGTGGGACTGTTCCTGCACACATAGGGCAATGTAGGCAGGCTTGAAGAGGGCGAGGTTTGCAGATATAAGGAGCTACGGGACTGCAGTGCCTTACCTGCATTTTCAATGACCCCCTAGCAAACAGAATGAGCAGTGAGGA